CCTGGAGAAGGACATCATGCAAGGTAAAGTAGAGGGTCAGGAACAAAAGGAAGACCCTCTAGGAGATGGATTGGCACAGTGGCAGCAGCAATGGGCTCTACAATTGGGAGGACTGGACTGGGCAGTGTTTCCTTCTGTTGGGCACAGGGTCACTATGAGTTGGAACCAACTCAACAGCACCTAACAACAACAACACCTCCTAGTCCCTTTAAGAAACTAAAAAACAGCAAAGAAGTTTCTCCCGTTAACAACGCACTTATGTTTCCATACACACAAACGTATGCCTACAATTTCTGAATATCCGTGAGTTTTCTCAGGATCTGTAGAGGCCTGTTTAAAAACCACTTCTAGATAAAACCAAATGTAGTATTAATAACTCCATGCAGCTCCTGACATAAGCACTTACACAGATGATCAATAACTACATCTGGGACAATTAAACAAATGAGTCAGTAAATGGCTGAATGATGAATGACAAAAGTGCCTGAGAACAGAGATGGTTTCATTTTCTCTCATTATGGGTAATGGTCCCTAAATGATGAGTAATTCTATAATTTTTGTTAAAAAATAAAACAACAACAACACAAAAACATGATCCAAGATGACGTAGGATCTGGCAAACTGAATGGCATGATAAAAGTCTAAGAGAAGGAAAGTAGAAGGGACAACAGTGTCTGCTTGACGGCTCTGAATTTCATGTTCAGATAAAACTGGTACAAAATGCACAGCGTTCCCAAGGTCAGGGCTGTTTCTAAGTCTGGCTCCCAACCTGAAAGTCTCAGTCCAACCCCAGCTCCTCAGCTCCTCTCAGCCAGAGACTGGCTGGTTTTGTGGTCAATCCAGCAGAGCTGTGTGCTCCCTGTGCCTGAGCAAGGCCGTCACGACTCAGCCTCAGCTGAGCTGGACTTCCCTCCAGGGGATCATTCTCAGCAGTGAGGGCTGAGCCCCCCCGTCCTTGTGCTCCCTGGAGCCTCCTGCCATGTGACTCTGAGTCTCCTGCTACAGGCCCCCAGGGGACTTTTCTACAGCAAGTGTGGTGACAGCTGGGAGCTGCATCCCTTGTCACCAACTGGGGATTCCTAGAGGAGCGCCAGCATCTGCCACTACAGTCTGAGGTACCTTCATGCCCAACTGCATCCTGCTTCCTCATTCTGGTGACTGGAAAGCACACAGCTTCTCAGAATCCGCTGACCCAATATTTGCCTATTTCTTTCTGTTCTAAAACCAAAACCAAACCAGTTGCCCTTGAGTGGACTCCAGTTCATGGTGATCCCACGTGGTTTAGAGTAGAATTGCACTCCAGAGGATTTTCAGAAGCTGTGTCCTTGGGGAAGCAGATCACCAGGACTTTCTTCTACAGAGCTTCTGGCTAACTTCAAACCACAAACCTTTTGTGCACTCAGGGAGATATACAAGGGCGCTTCCAAAAGTTCATGGAAATAATTCATTGTCTTTTAATTCCAACTTTCTATGAACGTTTCGAATCTCCTCTGTGTGTATGTGTGTGTATATATATATATATATATATAGAGAGAGAGAGAGAGAGAGAGAGAGAGACAGAGAGAGAGAGACAGAGAGAGAGAGTGTAGTAAGTTACGAGTTGGGCTCCAAACCACAAGGTCAGCAGTTCAAATCTACCAAATGCTTCATGGGAGAAAGAAAAGGCTTTCTGCTCCTATAAAGATCTACAGCCTCAGAAACCCTATACAGGGTAGCCATGAGTCAAAACCGACTCCACTATCACCGCCGCCGCAGCCGCCACCGCCGCCACCATCACCGTATATAGTCACATTGTTGTTATTGTATCAGTGAGTTGAATTCAGGGTATAGCAACCCTGTATCGGATTTACAAGGAATGCCAAACCAGAACTCTATACACATACACACAGTAGATACCTAGATAATGTTGTTGTTGTGAAGTGCCGTCAAGTTGGTTCTGACCCATAGCAATCCTATATAGGGTTTCTGAGGAGTGACTGATGAACTGCCAACTTTGCAGTTCAAACCAACCTTGCAGTCCAACGCATTAACCTGCACCAGGACTTCAGATAAATAGATAGAATGAGAGATTTGTTGTTATTAAGTGCCATCATGTTGATTTCAAGCTATAGCAACTGTGTACGAGGTTGACAAGGAATGCCATACCAGAACTCCAAACACACACACATTCACACTAGATAGATAGATAGATAGATAGATAGATAGATAGATAGATAGATAGATAGATAGATAGTAGATAGATAGATAGATAGACAGATAGATGGATAGGTAGATGGTGATAGAGAGATTTGTTGTTGTTGTTAAGTACCATCAAGTCAGTCCCAACTCATAGTGACTGTAGGGTTTCCGAGGAGCAGCTGGTGAGCTTGAACCGCCGACCTTTTGGCTCAAACCCACCTTGCAATCCAGCATATTAACTCGCAGTGCCACACCAGGACTCCTGGATTGATAGATAACTATCCCCTTCAGTTTGAACCACTACTGAATGACAGACACATTTCCCACCCATGTGACTGCCTCTTCCTCTTGACTTCCACATTTCATTCACGCTCCTGTCACCCCAACTGACTGCCCCAAATGACTCCAGATGTCTCCTTTGCCCTATATTCACCTACCCCTCTCTCCCCGTTGCCTCTGCCCTGACCTCATTCAGGTCCTATGATGTGGCCCTGGACTTGCAGTGGTCTCATGCTGTACTCTGCGGCCACACTGGCCTTCCCAAAGGACAAGCTCCCTGCACTAGCATTCAAGGCTCTCTGCCACCAGACCACAGCCTTTCCTCATGCCTGGTCCTGTATCCCTCACAGACTGTTTCCCCCCGACGCTTTGAGAGTTCTAGACCCCAACTGCAGAGTCCTGGTGTGGTGCTGTAGTACAAGCACTAGGTTGGCAGTTCACACCCACCAGCTGCTCCTCAGAAACCCTATACAGGGTCACTAGGAGTCAGAACTGACTCAACAGCACTTACCAACAGCAACAGGCACCAAGTGCATTTGAACTGTGGTGTTAGTGAAGAACACTGAATATTCTAGGGACTGCCAGAAAAAATGACAAATCAGTCTTAGAAGAAATACAACCAGAATGCTTCTTAGAAGTGAAGATGGCAAGTTTTTGACTCGCTGACTGTGAACAGACCAATCGCTAGGAAAAGACATCATGGCTGGTGTCGTGGAAGGTTAGTAATGATGAGAAAGGCCCTCACTGAGAAGGACTGACAGTGACCAGAATAATGGACTCAAACACAGCAACGATCACAAAGCTGCTACAGGACCAGGGTTCGGTGATACAGAGGTCATGGGGAGTCACAGCCAACTCAGCGAGAGAGAGGTCACTGAGAAACTAACCACAGGCCCTAAACTCGCCTTTCTTAATACCCTCCAACATCCCCACTTTCCTTTACAACTCTGCTGTGTCCTCCAGCTACAAAGACTCTCCCCCATTTCTCCATGTCTTCCAAGGGTCAACTCATGAGTTGTCTGCACCAGAAAACCTTCCTCTGACATTCCCAGACTCCTCCTTACCATGACAAGCATGATATTCCAATAATGATGGTAACTAGGTACCGCACACCTCAGCACTGTGCCAAGCATCCCATTTTGCTGTTGTTGTTATTGTTAAGTGGCATTAAGTAGACTCCAACTCATAGCAACCCTGTATAGGGTTTTCGAGGAGCAACTGATGAGTTTGAACCTCCGACCTCGAGGTTCAAACAAACCATATGGTCCAGTGTTTATCTTACAGCACCACACCAGGACTCTGGCACCCCACTGAGCGATTAGAAAACCCCTACATGCACTAGACTCAGAAAAGGTCAGCGGTTGTCCAAGGTCACCAGCTAATCAGGGATCCAGCTAGAACTGCACTCCTGGCCCATCAGACTTTGAAGACCTTGTGTCTTCCACTTTGTCCACACAGCCACACTGGGAGTCATTATTTAACTTCCAAGTGCAGACAGGAAACCTCTCCAGTAGAGAGTGTTCAATGATACTGACTGACCTTCACAACTCCCTAGAGACACAGGGGCCTATACAACAGCCCGGTAATGATACCGCTCTCATTGCACTAAAGCTTTGTTCCTTCTGCTCTAAAGCTGAATTCCACCATCTGTCTGTGAGTCGGTCATACCATGACTGATTTGCTCTGATACTGGCAGGGAGTCCTGGTGTGGTGCTGTAGGATACACACTAAACTACTAACTGCAAGGTTGGCAGTTCAAGCCCACAAGTCCATTACTCAGAAACCCTATAAAGGGTCATGATGAGTCGGAACCGAGTTGATGGCACGGAACAACAAGAACATGATGCTGAAAGCTACGCTACCAGGATTTCAAACACCAGCAGGGGCACCCATAGCAGACAGGTTTGAGCAGAGCTTCCAGACTAGGATGGACTAGAAAGAAAGGTCTGCCAATCTACTTCCCCAGATTAGCCAGTGAAAACAAAGTAGATCGCAACAGAAGGACACAAGCATGCCACCTATCGTGAAGATGATGCAGGACTGGGCAACACGTTGGACATAGGGTCGCCATGAGTGGGAGCCAAGTGGACAGTAGCTAACAACAATAACACAGCTTAATTCATGATGCATATAGGTTTTCCCTTGGCTGATTGGTAAATCCTTGGAGGACTGATCATATTTATTCAATTCTTTTACAGGCTAACACATGTCCTAGTTTCACTTCCTCTGTGGCGCTTAGCACTATTTGGAATTGCCTTGTTTTCTTATTGTCTTCCTCCTCTCAGTAGAATGGGGACTCCAGGGCACAAGGACTTGGTCTCTTTGGCTATCTATCATCCCTCCAGCACCTGGAATATGTCTGGATCATTATCCACCACACTCAAACGTTGATTAAATAAAAAAAAAAAAACAAAGGGAAGGAGCAGAGAGGGAAGATCAACCAGTAAACATTGGTTACATCAGTGAATCCAGTAAGCACTTGAAGTTAGACATGTAGAACCCGCTTCAATGTGTGAAGGAAGAGGTATATTTGCATTTACTATCAGGAATGTTGTTCAAATTTCTTTCTTGAGACTGCTTTTCCAGGAAACACCGTAGAAAATAAATGGCCACAAAAAAATCAAAGCCAAGGAGTTTCCACCACATTATAAACACAAATATCATTTTACCAAGGAATTCCACTTCCAGAAACTCATTCTACAGATATACTCACACCCACACAAGGTCATTCACCACACCATTTTTTGTTATAGCAAGAGATTGGAAGCAATCCATATGTCCATTAAATAAAGACTGCTGAAAAAGTCCTGAGTGATGCAAGCAGCTAAACACTATGGTATGTACTGAAAGGTTGGCTGTTGGAACCCACACAGAGCTACATCAGAAGAAAGTCCTGGTGATCTTCTTCAGAAAGATCACAGCCATTGAAAAATCCCATGGAGAGCAGTTGTACTCTGACGCATGTGCAGTGGTCATGAACTGACTCGACAGCAATTGATTAATGAGAGTACAAATCGGTAACAACTTTGAAGGGGAGTTTGTGTCAAATGAAGATGGCTGACTGGGAATTATGGTGCATTTATAGAATAGACTTGAGAACATAAGAAACAATGAGGAAGCTCTCTCTACACTGACGTGGAACACTCTACAGAGTATGTTGTTAGCTGGAAAATGCGGGTACAGAACAATGTGTCTCATACGTGGCCCTTTGTGTAGAAGTGGGAGGAATGAATAGAATCTTTCTGTTGTGTGTGCAGAAAGGATACTTGGAGGATGCGTAAGAAAGGAAGAAGAGTGGTTTGAGAGGGTAGGGAGAGTGGGTAGATGAGGGGCAAGGGTGGGAAGAAGAATTTCCACAGTATATGCAAATGTGATTTTACAAGCAAACATTTAAATGTAAAAACTCCAGGATGAGGGCTTCGGTGGGCTCACCTGAATGCCAGGCGGGATGCTGTAGATGATGCGGATGGTTTTGCAGTCCGGGTGGCCCGGCAGGGAGTGAGGGATGAGGTGGTACTCCATCTTCCCCGGAGGCTGAGTACCTGTCTTCACCCCATAAATGGTCTTACAGGTCGGACACTGCAAACTCCCATCCTGAGGAGACAAGGTCAGAAGAGGCAGGTTGGAAAACTCTTTAGTCATGACCTGCCCACTCCAAACACACTCAGAATAAAGTGTCAAGAGTCCTAGATGGACCAATATGAGTCACAGGTCATAGTTGCCCTTTGTCAGATTACTTAGTTATTTCTGCAATCTTCAAAGTCACAAGACCTCAATTCCACATGCTAAGGGGGATATAGAGTCCTGGTGTGGGGCTGTAGGATAAGGACTGCTGACAAGGTCAGAGGTTCAAACCCACCAGCCGCTACCCAGGGTTGCACTGTAAATCGGAACCAACTTGACGGCACTTAACAACAACAACAAAAGGGAGTATAATAGGAGGGGACCGGAGCAAACGAACCAAGGACCAAATGAATGGACCCATCAGAATCACTTGGGAATCTTGTTACAAATAAAGACACCTGGGCTCCACAGAAGGCACCAGTAACTAAAAGGTCAGCAATTCGAACCCACCCGGAGCTCCACAGGAGAAAGATGAAGTAGTCTGCTTCCCCAAAGTTTTACAGTCTCAGAAACCCTATGGAGTTCTGTCTTGTAGGGTTGGAAGCCATCGACCACAGTGGGTTTGGTTTTCTTGGTAAGGACTCACAGCAATCCCACTGAATCAGAGTGTGAACTCTGAAGTCAAACTGCTTGAATATGATTCCCAGCTCTGCCACTGATCTTCTGTGTGACCTTGGACAAATTAATTAACCTCTCTGAGTCTCAGTTTCCTTATTTACTAAACAGAGAAAATAATAGACTCTATCTCATTTGGTTGTCTGAAGGATTCACTGGGAGAATACATGTGTGAGCATATGGCATGAATTACGAGTATTTTCATCACTTCTGTGTTGAGTTTAAGTCTGGAAGCCAGTGCTATTGGAAAGAGAAACTGTGTACTATGAGCTGGAGAAAGGAGCCTCCTCGTGGCGCCACGACTACACACTTGGCTGCTAACTGAATGGTAGCTGGGACCCACTGGCTTCTTCCTGGAAGAAAAGACCTGGCGATCTGTTCCCATAAAGATGGCAGCAGCCTAGGAACCCCCAAGTCTCACTGCTACTCTGTCCCACAAGCTCATCATGAGTTGGAATCCACTCCGTGGCACACACCAACAACATCTGCTGGAGAAAATGAGGGTGACTTTCAAAAATGATCCTTAAAAACTGGAAATGAATCGGCTTAGGAGGATGGGGGGTAAGGTCTGCATGAATAACAAGAGGAGGGAAGAATGTTATTCATTCCAATCTTCCATGACTCTGAGACCGGAAGAACTAGATGGTGCCCAGCTACCACTGCTAACCGTTCTGAAAGGGATCACATTAGAAGGTCCTGGATAGAATGGGAAAAAATGTGGAATAAAACTCAAAATCATTTTTGAAAAATGCCTACCGCTCTGATAGAGATTGCTAGAACCCCTGAGTACTAGGGCACTTAGACACCCTTCAAGTCTGGAGCTGTACTTACCCCAGACCACAACAAACAACAGACAGACCTATAGGGTGAACAGTAACACCAGGGAGATACACACTCCTTAGAATAGTCAACCACGTGAGATCAAAAGGGCAGCAGCTGCTCAGACATAACGATCAGAAAGCACAAAGGGATAAGAAAGAAAGAAGATGGGAAACGGAAGCCAAGGGAGGAAGTGGGAGGGCCGCTGTTAACAGTGTGGTGATCACAATCAATGTCACAAAAGAAAATGTGTATGACTTGTTGAATGGAAAACTAGTTAGCTCTGTGTGAACTTTCACCCAATCACACACACACACCCAAATATATATACGTACATTTATATACATAAGCCCTAGGACTCCTGGCATGGTGATGTAGGATAAGCATTGGACTTTGAACCACAAGATCGGCAGTTCCAACCCACCAGCTGCTCCTCGGAAACCCTGTACAGGGTCGCTATGAGTCAGAATTGACTCAACAACACTTTAACAACAACATATATAAAAGCCCTGAAAGTGTAGTGTGTTACATGTTTGGCTGCTAACTACGAGGTCAGCAGTTTGAATCTATCAGCGGTTCCACTCGGGAAAACAGAAGCTTTCTGCTCCTGTGAAGATTTAAAGCCTCTGTTACCCTACAAAGGGTAGCTATGAGTCAGAGCTGACTCGACAGCACTAATACCAACATTGTTGTTGTTGTTGTTGTGTGCCATCGAGTCGGGTCCGACCCATAGCGACCCTGTACAGGGTTTCCGAGGGTGTAAATCTTTACGGGAGTAGAAAGCCTCATCTTTCTCCCGCGGAGCGGCTGGTAGTTTCGAACCGCTGACCTTAAGGTTCGCAGCCCGATTCGTAACCACTACGCTACCAGAGATATATAAAAGCACTGTGGCTCCGTATGATAAACACTGGACTGCGAACCACAAGTCTGCTGTTCGAGAGGGAGAAAGATGGGACTTTTATCTTAATAAATTATATATAAGATACATATATATCACTGCGGGTTAATGTGTTGGACTGCAAAGTCAATTTGAATATCAAGGTTGGTGGTCCAAACTCACCTGTAGCTCCTCAGAAACCCTATACAGTGTCGCTATGAGTTGAAAGTGACTCAAAGGCACTTAACAACAACAATATATATATATATATCTGAAGCACAGTCAGATGAAAGGATTTGTTGCTGGTCAGTGGGTCTGCCCAGAGCACATGGGCACCCAGGAGCAATGAGTGAGGAGGTTCTGAGAGCAGTAATGTGAAGGGTTGTGATTTCATAACAGGACCTGGGGAGGTCTTTCCTGTAGGGAGAGAAGAGGGCAAATCTCCCTCTCAGGTCCCTAGAAGGAAAGGGGGTTGGAGAAGGAAAACACAGGTGGGAACATGTGTGTCAAAAGGCATCCATCAAAGTTCCCCAGGACATCAGCACCTCCCCCGGGGTGGAAGATGGGGTCCTCTGTGGAGTTACTGAGAGACATTTCAGTCCAAACTATACTCATTTCAGTAGCTTGGACTCAGGACAACAGAGACGGGTTTTGTGTGTGTGTGAATTAAAGAAAATGGTAACACAGAGTTCGGGGTCAGGGAACCGGAGAGGCGAGCACATTCTGCTGTAGCTGGAGACCCTTTCTTGACCTTGGGTGAATCACTCCGTCTCTGAGCCCTTTTCCCCTCCTCTTCTGGGTGGAGGAAATGAAAATGCATACTTCAAAGTATTAGTGCAAAGCAGAATAAAGTGTCCTGAGCAATGTTTTTAAAGCCCCACAGAAGTAAATACAAAGAGTTATTAGATTATTCTGAAACACAATCATTAAAATAGAAATGCTTGCTAAGGAACTCCTTTAAACACAGAACAACCTCTTAAAATGTGGGTCTCAGTGGACGCTTGCAACTCAGGGTCAAGACAGATGGTAGGTAAGCAGAGGATCCAGACTGGCATCATCCACCAGTCATGGAAAAACCACTATGTACAAGTCTCTATGAAATTCTACAAAGATCCCATGACCCACCCACACTTGAGAAACTTCAGTCAAATGGGCTGAATAAAGATCAAGGGGGTCATAATGCAAAGGAGAAATCCATTTGAATAATAATAGTAGTAATAAAATTGTTGTTGGTAAGTTTTGTTAAGTTGGTTCTGACTTATAACGACCCCATACAGGGTTTCTGAGGATCAGCTGGTGAGTTTGAACCACCAACCTTAAGATTCAAACTGACCTTGTGGGCCAGTGCATTATCCTGCAGTGCCACACGAGGACTCCGGTAATAAAGTAGGTATTATTTTATCTCCATTCTTCTGGTGTACAACGAGATCGTAGAAAGGATGAAAACCATATCCGAATTCATCCAGTTCATAAGAAGCCAGGATTCAAGCTTGGGTCTGCTGCCTTTCCTGCCTCGACACTTTCCCTTAAGGTAAGAGGAGAGTAGAGCAATCTTGGAAATTCAGACCTTGGAGATGGGAGATGTCAGAGAAATTTCAGATTCTCTTGGAATCTAAGCTGGACCTGGCGAAGAGAGGAGTATTTGAGCTCATGAAAATAGGGACTTGAAGGGTATTCCAGGCACAAGAAAGGAACATTGGTACAGTCAACAACTCAGAAAAATCTCAGACATTGTAAGAAAAGAATTATCACCTAAAGAGATGTGATTGTCAATTTTTTATCAGCTTAGCTAGGCTATGGTTCTAGGTGGTTTGACCACTACTCAATTGCTATTATGGAGTAGCTACATGTGACGAATCAGTTGGGCTTTGGGAAGAGTAACTTACCCTTCCATCATATAATCTCTTGCAGAGTGATATGCCATCTTTTTACTCAAATATTGCATGCGTTATTACACGCAAACAAGTCCATGAGAGCCAAATATGACCTTGAATGTATCCCACCTGAATTTAGAGATCATCTGAAGAACAGATTTCATACATTAAACACTAAAGACCATAGACCAGAAGAGTTGTGGGAAGACATCAAGAACATCATACAGGAAGAAAGCAAAAAGTCATTAAGAAGACTTAATAAAGGAAGTATCAAAATGGATGTCAGAAGAGACACTGAACCTTGCTCTCCAGCGTAGAGATGCTGAAGCAAATGGAAGAAACGAGGAGGGACAAGAGCTGAACAGAAAATTTCAAAGGTCAGCTCAAGAAAACAAAGTCAATTGTTACAACAAAATATGAAAAGATCTGGAATCAGACAACCAAAAGGGAAGAACACAGAACACACTTAGCATTTCTCAAGCTGGGGGAACTGAAGAAAAAATTCAAGCCTTGACTTTCGTTATTGACGGAGTCTTTGGACAAATTATTGAATGATACAGAAAGCATCAAAAGAAGATGGAAGGAATACGCAGAGTCACTGTACCAAAAGGAAATGGTTCATGTTCAACCTTTTCTAGAGGTAGCATATGACCAAGAGCCAATGATGTTGAAGGAAGAAGTCCAAGTGCATTGAAGGAATTGGCAAAGAACAAGGCACCAGGAATGGATGGAATAAAAATTGAAATCTTTCAAGAAAGAGTGAGGCGGTACAGGAGGCACTCACTGATCTCTGCCAAGAAATTTGGAAGGCAACTATTTGGCTGACTGATTGGAAGAGATCAGTATTTGTGCCCATTCCAAAGAAAGGTGACCCAACAGAATGTGGAAATCAGCAGACAATCTCTTTGCTATCCCATGTGAGTAAAGTTTTACTAAAGGTAATACAGAAACAGCTGTAAAGCATATATTGACAGAGAACTTCCAGAGGTTCAAGCTGGATTCAGAAGAGGATGTGGAATGAGGGATATCATTGCTGATGTCAGATGGATCTTGGCGGAAAGCAGAGAATATCAGAGAGATGTTTATTTGTGCTTTATTGACTATGCAAAGGCTTTCGATTGTGTGGATCATGACAAGCTATGGACAACATTGCAAAGTATAAGTATTCTGGAACAATTAATTGTGCTCATGAGGAATCTGTACCTAGACCAAAAAGCAGTTGTTCAAAAAGAACATGGGAACACTGAATGGTTTAAAATTTAAAAAGGTGTGCAACAAGGTTTTATTCTTTCACCATACTTATTCAACCTGTATGCTGAACAAATAATCCGAGAAGCTGGGTTCTATGAAGAAAAACGTGACATCAGGATTGAAGGAAGACTCATTAACAACCTGCAATATGCAGATAATACAACCTTGCTTGCTGAAAGTGATGAGGACTTAAAACATTTACTGATGAAAATCAAAGAGCACAGCCTTCGGTATGGATTGCATTTCAATGTAAAGAAAACAAAAATATTCACCACTGGACCAATAAACAACATTCTTATCAACGGAGAAAAAGACTGAAGTTGTCAAGGACTTCATTCTCTTTAGATCGACTATCAACACTCATGGAAGCAGCAGTCAAGAAATCAAACGACATATTGCATTGGGCAATTCTGCTGCACAAGACCTTTTTAAAGTGTTGAAGAGCAAAGATGTCAGCTTGAGGACTGAGGTGTGCCTGACCCAAGCCATGGTGTTTTCAATAACTTCATATGGATGTGAAAGCTGGACAGTGAGTAAAGAAGACATAGAAGAATTGATGCTTTTGAGTTATGGTGTTGGAGGAGAATATTGAAAGTGCCATGGGCTGCCAAAAGACTGTGTTGGAAGAAGTGCAGCCAGAGTGCTCCTTGGAGGCCAGGATGGCCAAACTTCATCTCTCATACTTCAGACATATTGTCAGGAGGGACCAGTCACTGGAGAAGGATATCATGTTTGGTAAGGTGGAGGGTCAGAGAAAAAGCGGAAGACCCCCAGTGAGATGGATTGGCAAAGTTGCAGCATCAATGAGCTCAAGTGTGAAAACAATAGTGACGTTGGCCCAGGATGGGGCAGTGTTTTCGTTCTGTTGTGTATAAGGTCGGTATGAGTCGGTACCAACTTGATGGCACCTAACAACAACAACAATTTCACACAAGTGACCCCCTCATGTTAGCTTCCTATACATGCTATGCACAACATATGTCTGTGCCTCTTTTTATGTTGTGGTTGTTGTTGTTGTTGTTATGTGCCGTGGAGTCGGTTTCAACTCATAGAGACCCTGTACAGGGTTTCCGAGGCTGTAAATCTTTACGGGAGCAGAAAGCCTCATCTTTCTCCCACGGAACAGCTGGTAGTTTCGAACTGCTGACCTTGTGGTTCATAGCCTGATTCGTAACCACTACGCTACCAGAGCTCTTTTTATGTAAGCACGTTAAATGTGAAAAATATGGTCATCTCCTTCCACAATGCAATCTCATCAATTAGTTGTGCTCATACCAGGGTAGGGTAGTTCCTAACCCTAAATAATCCCTCCTAAATTTTCCACAGATCAGAACAGCACAGAGCGATACACAGGGGAAGGCAGATGGCATGTGAAGATCATCTACCAGAGATTACCAGCAGCAACCGGAAACCAGGAGAGGCTCACAGAAGGAACTGGCACAGCTGAGATCCCAATTTGGACTTTTAGCCTCCAGAACTGTGAGACAACACATTTCTGTTCTTTAAAGTCCACCCCCACCCCACCGCCCTTTTGAGGTATTTCTGGTACCGCCACCCTAGGAAACTCCCACATCCTTGGGAACCAGCCCTCCTGGGGTATCGCCAACCTACTGTCTGTTAGTGAACAAGATAAGCTTCACAATAGCCTGCCTGCTCTTCCAATAACCAGATTCTGTGGCATTAGGCTCTGATGCCTTTGGAGAGTCTATCAGGAGCATTTTGAAATGGTTTAGAGAAAAAGAATCATTATTGAAGATCAACGGATCCCAGGAAGCCCTGCGGAAGGAAAGGTGTCTAGGAAGCCCAATTCCACTGGTTGGACTGTGTATCCCATGGACCTTGCACTGGAATACACACTCTATCGATTGAGCCCACTTGTCTAGCAATGTGTCAAGACAATGGTACACTCCCCTAAGAACCTTCATGGGCAGAAGTCCATGGCCTTCAGACCACCTCACGCAAGATGGTGATTGACGAAGTGGAGTCAGTGGTCCAAAGAGAAGACAGAGACAATGCCCGCTGAGCACTGATCCTGCTGAGAAGACACAGGATTACCACTGGTGGTGCCCTGGGGTAGGCACAAGCTGGCACTGACCTTGTTCCCATTGTTGTACATGGCGACCAGACAGTAAATGTGGTAGATGTGGCCGCAACGAGACAGCTTTCCTACCAGGTCAGGCTTGACGGTCGGCTGAGGGCCCTTGTAGCCCGAGGAGGCTGTGAGGCGCTCCATGCAGATGGTGCAGTCCTAGAGGCAGGAGGGGACAGAGTAGAGAGGTCCTCAGATGTCACCTGGCCTGGGAGGTTGGGGCATTTCCATGACAGCTCTCCCATGCGTGACCTCAGAGGTCAGATGTGTAATTATCACCCTCTTCTAGAATGCCCACAAGCTAGGGGTATAGGTCATTTTTGTAGCTGTTGTTAATTAAGTGCCATCGAGTCAGTTCTGACTCATAGTGACCCTGTATAGGGTTTCCGAGGAGCAACTGGTGAGTTTGAACCAGCAACCTGAAGTTTAAACCAGCCTTTCGGTCCAGTGCTTTCTCCTACAGCACCACACCAGGACTCCTGTACTGGGTTACGTGTTGGGCTGATAACTGCATCAGGTTGATTCCAACAAAGTATGGGAGCAGAGAGCCTCATCTTTCTCCTGAAGAGCAGTTGGTGGGTTTGAACCACCGACACTGTGGTTAGCAGTCCAATGCCGCTGAGGGTTACACAAGAGAAACTCCGGAATCAGATGTGCTGACTGACGCATGATCTCCTTCAGGGCTGTGACCTCACACTGCCCTTCCTTTAGCATCTTCCAGTCACTTATGGGACATACAAAGACTTGCTGTCAAGTTCTATTTCAAATGGCCTTTTGTAAAGGGAACTGTATCCCAAGCATACCAGAGGGACAGCTATTTAAATAAGTCGATGACAGGGTTTCTTCACCTCAGCACTATTGACATTTGGGGTTGGGTGAATCTTGGCTGTGGCAGGGGGAGATGTAGGGTGTGCATTGTTGGATGGTTAGCAGCACCCTTGGACTACTCCCACTTGATGCTGGCAGCGGGCCCTCACCCTCTAATGGTGACCACCAAAAACCTCTTCCTGAAGGGCAAAGTGCCCCCAGGTGAAAACCACTGCTCAATACCACATCTGGTTTAACGAGCCCCTATGACTTATCCCATAAATTCTCAATGTGGCGGGCATGTCATTCCACACTATGCTGAACTAGTAAAAGGGGGAGAGTATGTGCAACCCTGGACAAAGAGCCCAGGAGGCTCTGACAGTCTCCTGCAGGAAGTGACCTCGGATGAAATGCCCATGAGTAGTGAAGGTGAACTTGCCTCCTTTCCCCACACTCACCTCATCTGGTGGATGCCGGACTTTCTGCAGGTACTTCTTAAGCACTTCCTCTGGAGTTTTACCTGTGGGGACAGGAGAATCAGTGGGCCACCAACACAGAGAGACAGGACCAAGCTGACCTACTGCTGTCAAATCGATTCCAACTCACAAGGCCCTTAAAGGGCAGAGGAGAAATGCCCTGCAGGGCTTCCAAGGCTGTCTCATCTTTCTTGTGTGGAGTAGCTGGTGGGTTTGAACCACTGACCTTTTGGTTAGCAGCCAAGGGTGTAAACCATTTGTACCCATGCAAGAACTCCAGGCGTGTCATAAGAGAAAGGATTAGCCAATTTCAAAGAGGAAGAGGGGAGAACCCAGAATATGAAAGTCCCTAGAAATTCATTCTGCAACTGGATTTAAAATTTTGAAAGAGATACAAGGGGCAGACAAGAGAGCGAGGTGCTCTGAGGAGGCGGGAGGTGTTAACGCCAGCTTCTACCTCCTTCGATTGCTTTCCTGATATATTCCTGCCCACTTTCAGCAAACCTGCTTTTTAAGTGAGATTCTTTGAGTGAGCTTCTCTTTCTTATAACTGAAGAGCCTGAACTACCCTCAAAGGTCCCAATATGATAAGATAAAAGAACCCCCAAACCCAGGCCCACTGCTGTTCAATTGATTCCAACTCATGGTGATCCCGTGGATTAAAATTCGAACTGAGAGCCATAGGGTTGTCTTGACGGAACCCTTTATGAGGAGTCCTGGTGTGGTGCTACAGGATAAGCACTGGACTGCTAGCCACAAGGTCAGCAGTTCAAACCCACCAGCCAGGTCGCTGTGAGTCAGAACCCATTTGACGAACAACCTTTATCGAAACGTATCACCAGGCCACCACAGAACTAATGGATGGGTTCAAACTACCAACCTATAGGGTGTTGTTGTTAAGTGCTATTGACTCAGTTCCAACTCATAGCAACACTGTATAGGGTTTTCAAGGAGCAGCTGATGAGTTTGAACCTCCGACTGTGCAGTTCAATCTGATCTTCTGGTTAAGTGCTTATTTTACCGCGCCACACCAGGACTCAAACGCTTTATAAACTGTTAAACATGTAATACATATTAGGTATTCTTACTGCATTCACTTAAAACATCGTGGGTCCTATCTCACTCTATACTGCAGAGTCAAAATAAGATTTCTTTTTTTGGACATCATGAGCCACAACCTCAGGACAGTGTTGTCACTGGCAGCAGATACGGCAGGGAAGGGCAAGAAGTCTCAGAAGCATCCTGCCAGGCTGCAATGATTAGGAGGCAGCCCAGCCTGGGATAGAGACCAACCCAAACAAGCACATTGCCATCAAGTCGATTCTGACGCATGGTGACCCACATGTCAGAGCAGCACTGCTCCACAGTGTTCTCTTGGCTGTGATTTTTACAGAAGCGGATCACCAGGTCTTTCTTCCTTAGTGCCGCTGGATAGGTTTGAACTGGCAACCTTTCAGTTACCAACAGCCTGTTAGTGCCAAGTAACTAGAAGGAAAGAAAAGATCACTGCCACCTTGGGACACTCTCAAACCTCTCGCTACTTGACTGTCTTCCTTGTAAATGTGTGAAAACCTCTAGCACCTACTTTAAAGAACTGCTGTGATAAGTCAATGATTCAAGTTAGCACTGTGCCTGGTAAGGGCCCTAACTGTGCTATTTATAATAACAAGAGTTATTGTTGTTGTTATGTGCAATCGAGTCGATTCTGACCCATAGCAACCCTCTATAGGGTTTCCAAGTAGCAACCGGTGAGCTTGAACTGCTGACCTTGCAGTTCAAATGGCTTTGCAGTCTGGCACATTAACCCACAGCATCACACCAGGCCTCTAACATTGGGAATGTATAAAACCCTGTCATTTCCTATCAGACTCTGAATGAGACAATTGCAGTTACACACCACTTTAAACAGAAAGGAGCTCTGGTAGCATAGTAGTTACCAGTTGGGCTGCGAACCACAAGGTCAACAGTTGGAAACTACCAGCTGTTCCATGAGAGAAAGATGAAGCTTTCTTCTTCCGTAAAGATTTACAGCCTCAGAAACCTATGTAGGGTACTATGAGTCGGAACCGACTCCATGGCACATCACCACCACCACCACCTTTAAGCAGAGGCATTCTGAGAGCCTGGAGAAGTGGGACAAGCATTTGGGGAAGGAGATCGAGCAGCAGCCAAGAGCTGGCTTCCAAGTCCTTCCCTCCCAATGTCCCACTTCTCTGATAAGAATCAAGCTTCTATTAATTGGGAGCCGACTGCTTAACAGACTCTTGGCTAAGTACATTATGCATGCTGTTGTTGTTAGGGGCCATCGAGTTGATACCGACCCATAGTGACCCTATGCACAACAGAATGAAACATTACCCGGTCCTGGGCCAATCTCACTATCATTGCCCCGCTTGAATCCATCGATGCTGCCACTTGGTTAATCCATTTCATTGGGGGTCTTCCTCTTTTTCTCTGACCCTCCACCTTACCAAACATGATATCCTTCTCCAGCGACTGATCCCTCCTGACAAGATGTCCCAAGAATGAGAGACGAAGTTTGGCCATCCTGACCTCCAAGGAGCACTCTGGCTACACTTCTTCCACAACAGATCTGTTGGTTCTTTTGGCAGCCCATGGCACTTTCAATATTCTCCTCCAATACCATAACTCAAAAGCATCAATTCTTCTATGGTCTTCCTTAGTATCCCATTAACTGCACAGTATCCTTTCAAGGTTGGGGGGCTAAGGGTGAGGGTCACAGCTCTTAGCAGCCAATACCCACCATCAGAATGCCCCAAACGGTTCCCTCTCTGCCACTAATCTGAGGGTTGGTGGTTTGAGCCCACTGGGTGGGGCCACAGAAGAAAGACCTAGTGATTTCCTGCCATAAAAATCATAGCCAAGAAAACTCTATTGTGGTTGTTGTTGTTAGGTGCCATGGAATTGACTCTGACTCATAGCGACCCTGTGCACAACAGAATGAAACACTGCCCAGTCCTGCACCAACCTCACGGTCATTGCCACACTTGAGCCCATTGCTGCTGCCACTGTGTCAATCCATCTCGTTGGGGGTCTTCCCCTTTTTCCTGACCTTTTACTTTACCAAACATGATGTCCCTCTCCAGGGACTGGTCCCTCCTGAAAACATGTCTTGATAACAGGCTTATAAGAAGCATGCTGACTGTACTTAGAAAACCCCATGGAGCAGTTTCACTCTGTAGCACATGGGACCCAAATTGATGGCAGCGTGTACATTTGTTTTATTTTGATCAGCAATCAGTCATACCCAGTGCTCACTCAATTGTGAGGAAATAAGAAGGGGTTCCTGAATTTCCAAGGCAGCTGGAGACTTTAAAAGGATACAAGATCTTGGCTACTTACCAGCATGCCAGTATATGTCTGATGCATGCTGGTTGGGAGATAAGAAATTGCAATTTGCAAAGATAAGAAAACTGAAGCTCCATGTATTCACATGACTGTTGGGATTTGAATCCAGTTTGTACTGGTTCCACCCTCAAAGTGATCTTGATCCTCTCATACATTTTATTTGGGTAACACTTTATCATTTTATGTTTCAGTATTTTTGCATATTCATATTTCTCAAGGTGAAATACACTTTGATAGAATCCTCAGGACAGGAATGAGCATCAGATTCACTTAGCAGATGCAGAAATCCATGAGATAAGGAGGCTGGTACCTTTCTTGGCTTGTTTTTTGGTAGTCTTGCGGCTTGTGTTGGAAACACCTGGAATGGATTTTATTTCACTCTTGCTGACGGGGGGTGGGTGGAGAACCAGCTTTGGTGGTCTGGTGAGACACACAGGCAGCCCTGCTGCACTCATAAGGATCCCAGTGATTCCTGAAAGGACAGGGCAAGGTGAGGAAGGCATTCCTGAAAGGCCAGGGCTGGAGGACTGGCTCCCAGACCCTCTCCAAACACTTTCCTCCCCAGAAACCACCTCTCCGTTCCAACAGAGGGCGCTCCTACTTCATCATTTCCAAAAATGTATTCAGCCACTCATCTTCAATAGCATGCTTTGCTTTAAGCCATCAGTTCTCCCCAAATGGCCTCCTGCCGTCCGGAGACAACTTGTGAAAGCCAAAACTCTCACCGTTACAAATTCTCATCACTTTATTCATTTACTTCATGACTCGCATTTCTTCTCCCTTAAGTCAGCCCCATCCCACAGTGCATTTCTCTTACCTGCCAAGGCAGGGTTGACAGGACTGGAGCCATTCAAGTTCTTCACGGGGACAGTGGGAACTCTGAGGAAGGAATGAGCAGACACATTATGGTTTTGACAAGCAGGATAAAATGGGCCATTGTTGGAAACCCAAAACTTTACCGATTGAGAGTTTGCCCTTTCTTACAGAAACTGCAAACCACTATGAAAGAAGTAGTAATTTCTTCACAGAAAAGCCACAGTGAGGTCTTCAAAACCAACACAGGGCCAAGTCTCTCCTCCACTCACAAGCCTGCCACGGTTCTCCAGGTCATTCAGAGTCAAAGTCAAAGTTCTAGCAAGAGCTCCGGGGCCTTACATTATCTGCCAACATCCACCACCATCCCATTATCTTTCTGGCTTCCTGTCACATTGCTTGACGGATCTTCCTCCTACAGGCATGCTCTTGCCCCAGAGTCTTTGCATTATGCTGTTCCATCTTCCTGGAATGCTCTTCCACCATGTAAATATATCCGTTTGGCTTCCTCCTTCAACTCCTTCAGGCTTGGCTCAAATCTTGCTTTCCCAATGAGACTTTCTCTGACCACTGTATTTAATCCTGTCCTGGATTATACATAGGAATCCTGGGGTGGTACGGTAGGATAAGCACAGGATTGCTAATCAAAAGGTAGGCAGTTCAAACCCACCAGCCACTCCTCAAAAATCCCGTACAAGATCCTGATCTTTGTTTTCTTTAGAGCCGGCACTAGTAGGCACACAATACATACTTGTTATTGTCAAGTGCCGTCAAGTTGTTTCCGACTCACAGTGACCCTGTATAGGGTTTCTGAGGATCGGCTGGTGGTTTTGAACCACCAACTTTTTGGTTAGCAGTCCAGTGTTTATTCTATAATGCCACACCAGGGCAGTGACTGTAAAACGAGAAGCAGTTTCAAACTTGGGTGGGCATAAGAACTACTTACATTGTGGTTACTGTTAAGTGCTGTCAAGTCAGTTCCAACTCACAGCGACCCTATATAGGGTTTTCAAGGAGTGTCCGGTGAGTTTGAACCACCAATCTTGCAGTTCAAACTGACCTTGTGGTATGGAGCTTTGACAATGACAGGAGTCTCAGGCCTGAGTCTCAGCCTCCCATGGTGGGGCCCAGAGTCTGGAGTAGCCAGTTCCCCATTGAGCTTTTGGTAATCACAGTTCTACAGCTGTGACTCCTCCTTGTCCCTGAGAAATGTCAACAGCAGGAAGAACCGCCTCCCCTCTCTGTCCTCTCCCCAGCAGTTGGATCTGGTGGAGGAAGCTAGCTGGGCTGCCTGGGAATGCCAGGCCTCCCACAGAGCTGACTAGAAAAACATGGGGGGCGGGGGCCGCTGGAGATGGGTCTTACACAACCCCTGCACCACCCAGCTCCCACAGCTGGGCTTGGAGTGGGGAGGCCAAAGTCTCTGTTGACTCCCAGAGGCAGACAGCCTGAGAAGATATAAGTTGTCATCATTAACACATCAGCACTCACCTTGTTCTAGGTGCAGTTCAAATGGCTCACAATATATGAGGGGACGTCAAAAACTTTGTGTAAAAGTAGAATCGTACGATAATGGAATTTTTCCATGAACTTTTTGAAGCCACTTTGTAAACAGTATCTTCGAAACCCGATGCATCCTGACTATAACTGTCATTAGCCCCATTTTACTGACAAGGAAGCTGAGGCACAGAGAGGTTCATCAAACATGACCAGCGTCACACATCTAAGGATTTGAACCCAGAAAATGTAGCTGTGGAGTCCATGTCTTAACCACTCAGCATGTTTATATCATGTGATCCTTGTGACACCCCATGCTGCAGACCAAGAACATGAGGCTCGAAGAATGCATCAAATAAACCAGGCGCCCTGCCTGGTAGCATAGTGGGTAATGAGTTGGACTGTTAACCACAAGGTCAGAAGTCTGAATCTACCAGCTGCACCACCAGAGAATGAGAGACTTTCTGCTGCCTTCAAGATTTACAGCTTCAAAAACTCTATACCGGGTCACTATGGGTCAGAACCGACTCCAAGGCACACCACCACTAACCACCACCAGCAGAAGGAAGAGCAGCCATGTGGGTCTGAGTCCACTTGGGACCTCCAGGCTGAGAGGGAGGGGCCTCAGTCTGTCACTCCCACCCCTAAGATTACTGCTCCTTCCCCTCCAGCCCTCCCTGAGGAAGACCACAAGAGTGACAGGGCTGTGAGGATATGAAACAACAGACGTGAGAGTTTTTGTGTCTCAAAATGCCACCAGAGGCTGTTTTTCTTCAGAATGGATCACACCCAGATGAGCATGGGAAGTACCGAGTTCAAACCAAGGGAAACTGGGCCAGACAAGTAGTCTAGAAAGCCAGGTTTGAATCCTAGATTTGCCCACAATTCCTCACCAACCAGTTAACTTTCCTGAGCTTCCATTTCCTTATTGTTAAAACTGTGTGGATTAGAAGGTACACAGCCAGGGACACTTCTTGAGATGCCCCCACTCAAGTCCCTAAGAGGAAGATGGCATTCAGACCCCTGCATCCCCAGCCTCTTCACCTGGCTCTCTACGCATAAACTTCCAGGGAAGGATGGCACCTCCTGTGACCTGTTCCCCTGCTCCCCACCAGGGGGCAGCAGATGCAGGTCTGCGTGCACCTGTGTTCCCCCTCACCGCCTCTGAGGCCCCCACTGCAGCTGATAAATAGCTGTGATCTGGGTGACAAAAGGTACCTTTGTTCCCACAAACTGGACTGGCAGGTTTCCACACCCAGTGTGGTCAACCAGGAAACAACCCGATCCTCAGAGCACATATCCCAGGTAGCAGGGCTAGGGCAAAGTCTGGGGAGAAGGGTCTGCACACAGATCTCGGGAACACACCCATGGGAGAGGTGCTTGTCCCTGCCGTGTTGGGAAAGGGGCCACATGGTGGATGAGCTTGTCATTGGGCTTAGGTAGGAAGGGAACAATTTACTTACATAGCTGAAGGAGCTCTGAAGTCTAGCCCCTCAGCCAGTCTTGCTTTGTGCCTTTGGGACGGCCACGTGAGTGACCTCACTGAACTTCTTGACCACATCCAAGTTATCCTTCTGGTCCAGTGGTTACGCTCTGGCTGCTAACTGAAAGGTTGGTGGTTTGAACCCACGAGTGGCTCCATGGGAGAACGATGAGGCAGCCTGCTGCTGTTACAGGTTTGAAAACTCTATGAAGCACTTCTACTGAGCCCTTGTTAGGTGCCATTGGTTTGGTTCCGACTCATAGTGACCTTATGCACAACAGAACAAAATACTGCCCAGTTCTGTGCCATCTGCTATGTTGTAGAGGGTCCTGAGGAGTCTGAATCCACTTAAGGACTGTGAGCTGGGGGTCTCTGTAAAGATTTAGAATCCAAGTTAAATGCTGTGCCAACAGGGAGCCCTATGCAAATTCAGATGTTTGTTTAGAGTTTTCTTTCCCAACTGTAAGAGGAAGTTGGGCTTGATAAGCCCTTTTCGTGCTTTAATATCCCAAGTGTCTCAGATTCTTGAAGACATTGAGAATGCTGACTTGGCAACAATTGCTTCCTCCCACCCTTTCACCATTGCTGGCTAAAATGAAAACCCGACAGAGCAGCGTCTGTCTGTCTGTCTAGTTGTTACTGTTGGTGTTTGCTGTTCACTCAATCCCAGCTCATGACCAAATCCCACACAGTTTTCTCGGCTGCAGTCTTGACAGGAATAGATTGGTAGGCCTATCTTCTAAGGTGTCCCTGGGTGGGCTAACAACTGAGTATGCACTGTTGTCACCCTCCCCAGGGATGGTTACCCAGTCTGAGGTCCCAGGGGACTTCAAATAAATTAATGGGAAAGTTCCATTATCTTTTAATGCCATTTTTCCACAAATGTTTTGAAACCTCATCGTGGGCTTGAAGGAGCCCTGGTGGCATAGTGGATTAAATTATTAGGTTGCTAACCACAAAGTCAGAGGTTCAAACCCAGTAGCTCTTTTGAGAGCAAGAGATGAGACTGTTTGCTTCTGTCACGATTTACAGTCTCGGAAACCTTATGGACAGCTCTGCTCTGTTGGATAGTGAATAAGGAAGATTGTAGAAGAATGGATGCATTTGAGTTATGGTGTTGGAGAATATTGAAAGTACCATGGGCTGCCAAAAGAACAAATAGATCTGTGTTGGAAGAAATGTAACCAGAGTGCTCCTTGGAGGCCAGGATGGCCAGACTTCGTCTCTCATACTTCAGACATATTGTCAGGAAGGACCAGTCAGTGGAGAAGGATATCATGTTTGGTAAAGTAGAGGGTCAGAGAAAAAGTGGAAGACCCCCCCCAACAAGATGGATTGGCACAATGGTAGCATTAGTGGGTTGAAATGTAGCAACGATTGTGGAGTGTGACGTTGGCCCAGGATCAGGGAGTTTTTCGTTCTGTTGTGCATAGGGTCACTGTGAGTCGGTACTGACTCGATGGTACCTAACAACACCTCTGTCCTACAGGGTTACCAGGAATCAGAACGAACCCAGTGGCAGTCAGTTTGATTTGGCTTTTTGGTTTTGGTATGCCTGAGCCCTCTTTCTAGAAGACAGAAACCAAGGGGTAGGAATGCTTTTCACATCCTGCGCAACTCAACTCAGCCAAAGCTGTCTGACCCAACCACCATGTTGGGACCAATCAGAAAGCATCCCCCACTCCCCATTCTGCTGGGCTATTTCCAGTTATGAAGAGGCCAAGTGTTCATTTCCACCTCTAAAATATGAGACTAAGGCAGGGAAGAACTAGCAGGGTGGCAGAGGAGGAGGGGGTTGGTGGGAGGGCGAATGTTTCTGTAGACACCATGGGGAAAAGCAGTGAGTTACAGCCAACGCAGAAATCCTCAGTCCCGGTGGACAATGGTCTGTCTCTACGGTAACCCAGGCCTAACTAGAGATAGAGAAGCCTCCATTCCAAAAGAGACGGCAGAGGGGCGACTCCCACCCTCTACACAGAGCCCCCCTTTCTCTCCCTTTAGAAACTCCCGCCTGTGTCTGAATAATTCACAGGCTCTTTTGTTACCCACCACCCCCCACAAGCCCCTCTCTTCATCCCACTTCTAC